GCAATATAAACGCATGCTTTACCTTTAGAAAAAATATAATATACAAAATTATAAAAAAAAAATATATATATAATAATGTATAGAATGTGATAATCGGTCTTACTGCATGTACTTAAAATATACATATATATTCATTGTATTACATATTTTTTATTCTCTACTTTTTATTTATTTATTTATTTATTTATTTATTTATTTATTTATGTATTTATTTGTTTGTTTATTTACTTATTTATATAAAAAAGCAAGCAACCAGTATTTGTAAAGCAACCAATATACACTTTATAAAATATTTTAAATATGTAAAATATATACAAAGAAAGAAAGAAACAGTCATACTACGCTTTAAGAAAATATGTTAGATATATGCATACTGTAATTAATATTTTAAGCACTTCAAATATTCAAGAATTCTAATTAAACAGTCCACACACTCTGTTAATATTTAAGTAGCTATACACACTCATACTGCATGTTAAGAAATTATTTAAACATATATAAGAGTGTAAATTAAGCAATACACACTCACATACTCTTAAGATTTAATTATTTAACATATTTAAGCATTTAAAAGCATATAAGAATGTAAATTATGTAATACACACTCATACTGCATGCTAAGAAATTATTTTAAAGCACATAAGAGTGTAAATTAAGCAATATTAAAATTAATTTAATGTATATAAGAATGTAAATTAAGCAATACACACTTATTCTGTATAAGAAATTATTTTAAAGTATAAATTAGGCAATACACACTCACTGCATGTAAAGAAAACATTTTAAAGTTAATAGGTGAACGTATAAAAGAGTGTAAATTAAGCAATACACACTCACAAACTCTTTATATTTTAGTATTTAAATTATTTAAGCATTTTAAAGTATATAAGAATGTAAATTAAGCAATATACACTCATATTGTATGTTAAGAAATAAATTTAAAGCATGTTAGAGTGTAAATTAAGCAATATTAAAATGATTTTAATGTATATAAGAATGTAAATAAGCAATACACACTTATACTGTATAAGAAATTATTTTAAAGTATAAATTAAGCAGTACACACTCACTGCATGTAAAGAAAACAAGTATGTAAGACTTTAAATACACACACACACATACTCTTAAGATTATAGTATTTAAACTATTTAAGCATTAAAAAGTATCTAAAATTGTGAATTAGGCATATACACCCATGTTAAATATATTTATAAGAATGTAAATTAAGCAATATAAACTCATACTGAGTGTTAAGACAATATTTAAAAATAAATAAGAGTGTAAATTCACCAATACACACTCACATACTCTTAAGATTTTAGTATTTAACGTATTTAAGCATTTAAATGTATAAAAGAGAGTAAATTAAGCAATACACACTCATACTGCATGCTAAGAAATTACTTGAAAGTATCTAAGTGTGTAAAATAAGCAATACACACCCATACTGTATGTTCAAATTATTTATAAGAATGTAAATTAAGCAATATTCACTCATACTGTGTGTTAAGACAATATTTAAAAATAATAAGAGTCTAAATTAAGCAATACACACTCATATACTCTTAATATTTTAGTATTTAAAGTCTTTAAGCATTTTTAAGTATCTAAAACAGTAAATTAAGCAATATACACCCATACTGTAAATTATCTTAATGTATATAATAATGTAAATTAAGCA